CCAGAGCGGCCCTCGTGCCGACCACCTGACCGCTGTGGCCCTGAAGCTGGCAGCACCGAACAACTGCACCGAGGGGGGGGGGGGGGGAGCCGGGCCGTGCCCAAAAAAAATGGCCCTCGCTGCCGGCTGCCGCGCACAATTCGCCTGCCGATGTTTTCCAGCAGCTGCAGAGTGGCGCGGAGGGCGGCCCCCTTCGCAAGAGCAGGCTCTCGCCTGGGAGGGCTTCCCGTCGATGCCTCCGGCGCTGCATTGGCCGGGGTCGATCTCCCCTGCCCGCGGCGCCTCGAGCAGGCGGCCCAGCTCGGGGGGAGAGGAGGAGGAGGAGGAGGAGGAGGAGGAGGAGGAGGAGGAGGAGGAGGTCTTCCAGAGCTGCTGCGGTAAGCAAAAGGGTTCGTGCGGCAGCTTCACGGGCCCAGGGTACGGACTCCCTGTCCCAGATAGGGGCTCTCTCGCTCGAGAGGTTCCCCCGCGTCTGTCACAGAACTGTCAGAGCGTGTGTAGCCGTCACACGGAGGGGTGCGGTTCCTTCTCGGGACGAGGCTCTCGCTTGAATGGCAGACCTACGGGATGATCTGATGGGCCTGTTTTCCACCACCACCACCATAAGTTGGAGGGGAGGAGGAGGAGGAGGAGGAGGAGGAGGAGGAGGAGGAGGAGGAGGAGGAGGAGGAGATGGAGGAGGTGGAGGAGGAGGACCCCCTCCCTCTCCAACTTATGGTGGTGGTGGTGGAAAACAGGCCCATCATTATCGGGATGTGTCGAAGAGCACCCCAAACAGTGATTTGTTGCAGCATATCAGTGCAATCGATGTTGCGCAATCTGGGTGGTGCAACGCATATGGTGCAGTCTGTGTGGCGCCAAGGCAATGCGAAGCAAAGCTAAGGAGTGCAAAGGAACGCAAAGCAATGCCAAGCAATGCAAGGCAACGCCATGCGGATGCAAAGCGATACTATGCAAAGCAATTCAACGCAATGCACAACAATGCAAAACAATGCAAATCAATACAAAGCAATGCAAAGCAACGCAAACCAATGTAAAACAATTCAAAGCAATGCATCTTTATGCCTAGCAACGCGAAGACATGCAAATGAAGGCAAAACAAGGCAAATAAGGGAACTGCCATGAACACAGTTCAGAGCAACGCAAAGCAACGCAAAGCAGGGACAAGCAATGCACAGCATTGAAATAGCAATGCAAAACAAGAAATATGCAACGCAGAGCACTGCAACACGATGCAACACAATACAAAGCAATGCACAGCAGCGCCAAGCAGTGCAAGGCAATGCAAGGCAATGCAACTCAATGCTAAGAAATGCAAAGCAGTGCAAAGCGATGCAAAGCGATGCAAAGCGGTGCGCAGCGATGCCCAGCAGCGACCGCGGCGACGGGCGGCCACGGGCGGCCACGGGCGGCGACGAGCCGGCCGGACGGGCACCCGGGCCAGTCCAGCGACGGCGGCGACGGACGGCCACGAGCCGGCTGGACCGACGCGGGCCCCCAGCGGCGACAGCAGCGACGGGCAGCAACGGGCTTGCCGGAAGGGCACTGGAGCTGAATGACCTTGGCAGCGGAGTAAGAACCCCTACAGTCGGGGCCTTGACCTAGGGAGCGAGAAAGAAGGAGCGAGGCCCCTTTTTTCCCACAAGTCAGACTCCGATTTCCCATCGAGAACCAAAGGAAAACCCAAGGCAAACTGTGAAACAATCAAGGAACACGGAGCCCCTCCCCAACGAAAAGGGTTCCTTCTTCAGGGCCCCGACTGTACGAGCAAGCGCCAGTTGGGGGAAAATTCGTAGCACCCCGCAGATGCGGATAAGAGTGAGGGGGCGGTGGGGACGTCGGCGGTCTGCGAGACTCTGGAGAAGCCCGCCACAGGCGCCAAAGTTTCACAAATTATACAACGAGCCCGCCGCAGACGCCGATTTTTTCTTCAAACCTATGTGGATCGGTCGCGGGTGGGTCGCGGGTGGGTCGCGGGGTGGGTCGCGGGTGGGTCAGGGAGTGGGTCGCGGGTGGGTCGCGGGTGGGTCGCGGGTGGGTCGCGGGTATGTCGCGGGTGGGTCGCGGGTATGTCGCGGGTGGGTTAGGGAGTGGGTCGCGGGTGGGTTGCGGGTTGGGTCGCGGGTGGGTCGCGGGTGGGTCGCGGAGTGGGTCGCGGGTGGGTCGCGGGTGGGGACGACGACAACAAAACAACAACAACACCAACACCAACAACAACAACAACAACAACAACAACAACAACAGCAACAACAACAACAACAGCAACAGCAACAGCAACAGCAACAGCAACAACAGCAACAACAATAACAATCATTATAAGACTGTTCGCTCTTACTTGCCCGCGTGTCATTCAAAACGAGTTCCCCTCACCCTCGATACCCGCCCCATTTGTCTTCGATCACACCCCCTTTGGAGGGATTCTTTCTCTTTGAGGGGGGCGGCGGGCTTAGACAGGGTGGCAAACCTGAACGGGCGGACAATCCTTCGTGGGCGTACATGTGCCCGCCATTGGAATTGGTGTAGGCCCTGCAAAAAGAGGAGGGGGAAAACGAGGGAGAGTGGGAGGAAGGGAGGAGGAGGGACGAAGGAAGAGGGAGAACGCCAGGAGAGAAGGATCAAAGAGGGGAGCGGTTGATTAGAGGCAGGGATAAAGAGAGAGAGAGAGAGAGAGAAAACAAAAAAAAGACAGATAAGAGAGGTAGAGAAAGAGAGAGAAAGAAAGGAGAGAGATAGAGAGAGAGAGAGAGAGAGAAAGAAAGAAAGAGGGAGGGAGGAGGCAGGAGAGGGGAGGGAGAGGGGAGGAGGGAGAGGAGGGAGAGGGGATAGGGCAGAGAGGCTTAAGGATGAGGGAAGAGAGGAGGGAGAGAGAAGGGAGGAGAGGAGGGAGGAGGGAGGAGGGAGACGGAGGAGCTGGAAAGTAAGAGCGTGAACGTTCGAGGAAGTCCTAGGCCACGACGGGCGGGCGATCCCCTGACGGGCGGGTCGGGCGGGGTTGGACATTCAAGCGGGATGCCTGCGAGAGCGCGATTACGAAGTAAATTGTAACGCGTCCTTGGCGCAGTGTTTCCTGAGCGTCGAAAGCGCGATTCCTAAATAAATTGCATGGAAGTCACGGGCGAGAACGAAATTCCCGAATAAAATGCGAAGGGTTCTCTGGCGGGAGCGGGGGTCTTGATTAAATTGCGAGGAAGTTTTGATTCAACTGCGAGGAAGTCTCAAGCCGGAGCGCCGTTCCTGAGTAGTTTGTAAGGAAGTCTCAGATGGGAGCGGGGGTCCTGACTAAATTGCGAGGGAGTCACAGGCGGGAGCACCGGTCCTGAGTAAATTGTGAGGAAGCCTACGGAGCGGGGGGTCCTGAGTAAATTAAGAGGAAGTCTCGGGCGGGAGCCGTTGTTGTTGTTGTTGTTGTAGTCCGGGGGGCCAGGGACACAGTTTGAGCACCAAGAGACTTTCCATGTCGAAAAAACAAAGTGCGAGCGTCGAGGGGCGCACTTTGATCGATTAAAAACAATATGCACCAGTGAGGGGAGATCAACAATAACTATTCTTCAGAAAAACAACAACAACAACAACAATCACTTTACCCGAACGCTCAGTGTTCTCACCAGTGCCAGGGTTTTCATGCGACGCCAGCCAATACCCCCACTTTGTGGGGGGGCAGTGCAAGCTCTACCAAATATCCACACGACTCTTCGCCACCACCCACACCCAGCTTCCCGCCCTATGACGTTCGGACACTTCACTTCGTGGCCTGCGGACGACCGTGGCTACTACACTGGCGTGGAGTACACACCCACAGAAGTTGTTAAGCCTACGTTCGTACACCCACAGAAGTTGTTAAGCCTTGTTAACCCACAGAAGTTGTTAAGCCTTCCACAGAACATCTGTTGCATATGATGCATATGGTACATGATACACATGATACACATGATACGTACTCACAAGATAGTTGATCACATCTTTAGGGCAAATTCCTGAGGGATGTGGGAATACACAAGAGAGAGAGGATATGGTTGTCCCGATGGTTGTCTCGATGGTTGTCCCGATGGTTGTCCTGATGGTTGTGGTTGTCCCGATCGTTGTCCCGATGATTGTCCCGATGGTTGTCCTGATGGTTGTGCTTGTCCCGATCGTTGTCCCGATGACTGTCCCGATGATTGTCCCGATGGTTGTCCCGATGGTTGTTCCGATGGTTGTCCCGATGGTTGTCCCGATGGTTGTGAGCGATGCCGGATCCTCACGCCCCCCGCCGGAGGAGGAGGAGGAGGAGGAGCAGGACAAGGAGGAAAGGAGAGAAGAGAGAACGGAAGGAGGGGCGGGAACGGCGCTTGCACGCCCACCCACCGTCTTTTCCCCGCCGCGGCTCTAAAGAGACGAGTTCGTGTGCTCGTCATCTTCTGGCATACGCCCGTCCCTGATGGCACGGATGGGGCGCAATGCTGCCAGCTGGGCTCCTGGCAGAAATACATCAGGGGCCAAGTGTCCAAGCATGGTGCCGATACGCCTCCTCACGGATACATCGCCCGTGCGTGCGAGGGGCGCCAATACCGCCAGGACGCCCTGGACATGCGCCGGCATACGCAGATCCACCTGGTAATCCATGACATTGCCATACTGGGACTGCCCGCAAGAACGCCATACTGGCATGTGCCACCAATGGTCCTGCTTCGGGAAATAGGTGATACCATCGTTGACGTCGTGGGAGGCATTCCACAGAGCCATAGATTGCGGCTCAATACCCATGGGTCCCGTGTGTGTTGCCACAAATACGTCCAGGCTCGCCATGCGCGCGGGTAGAAAATTTGACAGCGCGCGCGGGTAGAAATTTTGAAAAGTCGTGCAGGTGTTTTTCGAGGACCTACGGTGCGATTCGTGTGATTTTATGATGCGCGGTGCTAAAATTCTTAAGAAGCCCAATGGTTTTTGGAGATTTCGGCGTGCGCGCGCGAAGAAAAAACGAATGTGTCCCGCATGGTATTATTTGACAGGGATGATGGCCCTGGCAGGTGCGCAACCGTTGTCGCAGAAGTTCGAAAAAGTTGCTCGCAAAAGCCCGTTTGACAGAAATGTTTAAAAAGTGTTGGGTTTCCTACGAATCCGCAAGAGCGCGCGGGATGAGATTTTGACAATTTTTTGTTGAAAAACCATTGGTTTTTTGATGTTTTTATGTTAAAATCGCTGCGAACACTAAGGTTTTGGAAGGATTTCGTCTTGCGCGCGCGAATGTCCACTTTACCTTATTTTTTGCAAGGGATTCTTGAAATTTGATTATATTAGAACAAGAAATGTCATTTTCTATT